CCAGCCTCAGCAACAGCAAGGCGCGTAGCAACTCAGTGAGACCCTGTCTACAAAATAGGGCTGGGGATGTGGCTCAGAAGTTGAGTATCCCTGAGTTCAATTCCCAGTACCAAAATATGTGTGTGTGTGTGTGTGTGTGTGTGTGTGTATGTATACATATATACGTGTGTATATATATGTGTGTGTATCAGAGATCAGTATTAACAAATGCATTGTAAAGATCAAAACAAGATAATTTTTTTTCTACTGGAATTGTCAATTAAGTTATTAGTGTTTGAGAAGGCAGTTAGTCTTCTTAAAGTTTTTTGGATTGAAAGGCAAATTTAAAAGGGGGTGAGAATAAAAAGAAACATCAACTACACCAGGAGTTTCAACCTTAATCAGTACTTTAAATCAGTCCCTAATGACTGATATGCTCATATAATACCTGAGACCTAACCTTCATTGACATAAGTATATTTGTACCAGTTTTATTTGGAATATTGACCCTGGTGTTTTGAACATGACTCAATAAAACTGCCCCCTTAGTCACATTAAAAATCTAAAGAGCTCCATCTCTCATGCACTTGTTCCCACATCATATGTTCCCATCRCAGACCCAGTCTTTCATTGCTCCCCTAGACACCAAACTGCCCCACATACCATTTGGAACTCTTCCACCCACATCCCATGTGGTCTGTGGAAATGGGGTTCCTCTCGGTGGCATGCGCTGACAGCAGAATAAAGGCTAAGAAAAGTAGAACAAGGAAAAAACTACAGGACATAGGAAATATTTTTTAAAAAGCAGGAGCAGGACGGGCTTCCACACTAAAAAGAGCAAAATGGAGCCCGGGCTTGCTTTATTTATATCGGGAACATCAAAGGTTTTCCATGGAATATTCTTTGCCAAAAGAAGGTGGCCTGTTCAGTTCCCAAGGGATTCCACCCATGTCTGGAGCTTCTGTGAGGGATGTTCCTAGTAGAGCAGAGATAAAGGTCATGTGCATTGGGCAATTTATTGAGTGGGAGGAGCCACAAATAGTTCACAATGCCAAACCTAAACCTCCCTGGCTGCTATACCCGGGGTAAAGACCCTCAAGTAATTCATGGGTGGCTTCCCATAGAATTCTACATATTCTGTCAGATGGGAACTTCCTCTTATTTCTTTATACCTCCATCTGTCTCAAATCACTTTATGTGTAATCTTCACAGCTATCTCTCGCCATGAGTAGGCCAGTTCGATGTTCTAAAGTCATATGTCTGCTTTCGGGAATATCACTCTTTCCATAATACCCTTTCTTTACTGTATTTTCAACTTTCCAATTGACTCTTTCAGTCTTAACCTCAGTTCCCTCCCATTGAAGATTAAAAAAAAAGATTTTTCTGGGATGGGGCTGTAGCTTAGTGGTAGAGCTCTTGCCTTGCACATGTGAGGCACTGAGTTTGATCCTCAGCACCACATAAAAATAAAAATATTGTGTCCATCTACAACTAAAAAAAATTTTTAAGGTTTTCCTCTAGATTCCAGTCCTTTTTTAAATTTTTTTGTTCTAATTAGTTGTACATGACCATAGAATGCATTTTGACATAAATGGAGTATAACTTCTCATTTTTCTGGTTATACATGAAGTAGAATCATACCAGTTGTATAATCAAATAGGCACATAATGTCTGATTCATTCTACTATCCTTCCTACTCCCATGCCCCCTTCAATCACCTCTGTCCAACCCAGAGTWCCTCTATTCTTCCCAAGTACCTGCCCCCAATTGTGAATTAGCATCCTCATATCAGAGAAAACATTCAGCCATTGGTTTTKGGGAATTGGCTTATTTCGATTAGCATAATATCCATCCATTTATCAGCAAATGCCATTATTTCATTCTTTAAGGCTGAGTAATATTCCACTGTGTGTATATGCCATATTTTCTTTATCCATTCATTTGTTGAAGGGTACCTAGGTTGGTTCCATAGTTTAGTTATCATGAGTTGAGCTGCTATAAACATTGGTGGGACTGTATCATTGTAGTATGTTGTTTTTTTATGTGATTTATTTATATATGATAGCAGAATGCATTACAATTCATATTATAGAGAGAGGACAATTTTTCATATCTCTGGTTGTATACATAGTATATTCACACCAATTCGTGTCTTCATACATGTACTTTGGATAGTAATTATCATCACATTCCACAATCATTAATTATCCCATGCCCCCTCCCTTCCCCTCCAACCCCTCTGCCCTATCTAGCTAGAGTTCATCTATTCCTCCCATGCTCCTGCTCCCTATCCCACTATGAATCAGCCTCAAAGAAAATATTTGGCATTTGATTTTTTGGGATTAGCTAACTTCACTTAGCATTATCTTCTCTAACTCCATCCATTTACCTGTAAATGCCATGATTTTATTCTCTTTTATTGCTGAGTAATATTCCATTGTGCATGTATGCCACATTTTTTAATCCATTCATCTATTGAAGGGCATCTAGGTTGGTTCCACCATTTAGCTATTGTGAATTGTGCTGCTATGTGAATGTGGGCAGTAAAGAGAAACATGCCTTTGTAGTATGCTGATTTTAAGTCCTTTGGGTATAGACCGAGGAGGGGAATAGCTGAGTCAAATGGTGTTCCATTCCAAGTGTTCTGAGGATAGATTTCAGTCTTTTATACCTATGCTTTCATCATTTATACCTATGCTTCCTTTAGAGTAGTCTATTCTGTGGATTCTGTTCCTCACTGAATACCCTCCTATCTCATTATAATAAATCTATTTCTTATAACCACTGTACTGCCATTAGATTTTCTAGTTATTTCTGTTTACTAAGCCCAATGGTATTTTCCTGCCCTTTATCTACTTGATCTCTTGAGTAAAGGACCCTTCTTTCCTAAGCTCCCAATTGTTAATATTCATTAGGATTCCATTCCTTAGCCCTCMCCACAATGTATAAACATGTATCCTTTTCAAAACAAAACTTCTACCATGTGTTTCTCTTTAAGCTACTACATTTCTGTYAGTGTGTCTTTACAACTATGCCAGTACATTTAGATAATTCCTTTTCTAGAATCTATAGAAAAAGACCAGCATTTCGGAAACCTCCATTTGGAATGCCTTTCAGCTTTTTCAGTTTGTATTTGCTGCACAGATCTTCCTGAATTATTGAGACAGCATTTATATTTATACCTCCACAAATGAATGTGGTTTCTCTGAAAGCAGGAATTCTTTTTTTTTTTTTTTTTTTTTTTTTTTTNTTTTACTTTTTTGTGAAGAGAAACATTCATGTCTTACATTAGGTGCTCGTTGAGATTTTTTGTTGGCTGTGTTGTTTGCCATGGGCAGAAACCCTGTGGATGGATTTAGGGACCTGAATGAAGGACCTAGAGTTACTGAAGTACAGTATGAATAATGGTAGACTGATGAACCAGGGATGATTATGGTTGTTCCCTTAAAGAATAAAAAGGGATGCAATTGTAGGAAAGTTAGTTCTGGTAACTTTGTAGATTTTGGCYAAGACCCAAGTGTAGAAATGATGTAAGGAGAGAAGTGGAGGTCATTACAGATGACATAAACCACAAGCAAGCACAATTAGAGGAATGTTAATTAGGATGCTCTCAATTACAAATAATGAAACTTTAAAATGGCTTAAATACCAAGGATATGTCTATGACATAAGAGGAAATTTGGTCGCAGGGAGCTCAAGGATCTCAGATTCCTTGACATGTCCTCAAAATCTGACTCTTTTCATGGTCTGTAGACAGTTTCACTACCCACTRTCACTTGCAGATGATAATATCAGAGGGCAGTAAAGAGAAACATGCCTTTTCAAGAGCCTAAGCCCCCTTTAAGAGTAAAGAAAACTTGCTGGGCATGGTGACACACAACTGTAATCCAAGTGTCTTAGTAGGTTGAGGCTGGAAAATCACGAGTTCAAAGCCGGTCTCAGCAATTCAGCGAAATCCTGAACAACTTAGTGAGCTCCTGTCTCAAAATAAAATATAAAAAGAGCTAGGGATGTGGCTCAGTAGTTAAGTGCCCCTGGGCTCAATCCCTAGTATCAAAAAAAAAAAAAAAAAAACAGGAGGAGGAGGAGGAGAAGATTTGAAAAGCATACTCCAGCAAACAGGTTGCAGTGGATCCTAACAAGTACCCAATTTATATCCCTCTCATAGCAAGGAGAATGAGAGTACCAGGATTGTGGCTAAGTATATACCACATGAGCAGCATCTAGGAACTTGTGATGAATACACATGCTTAGGCCTCACCCTAGACTTCTTTAATTATGAAAGACACTCACGGCTGAGTAGAACTCACCAGTATGTGTTTTAATCGGCCTTTTAGATAATTTTGATGCACATCCAGTTTGAGAACCATTAGCTTAGAGCAATCAAGGTTTACTCCTTTGGGCTAGGGAAAGGCCTAACACCCTGAAAGGCTGAAAGACTTGGAAAAGAAAAGAGAAAGAGGAATGGATGTTGGATAGGCAGCAAAAAAATATGTCTACAGTTCTTCAGGGAGTAAGATATTTCCTAGAGTCAGTTAACATTGCTTCATCTCTTCCTCTCCCTTTCCTCCTCTTTGGGCCTAGAGACATGGTGCTGTACTACCTGTTTCATCTCCCGGACAATGTACCTCAGAAATATGATTCTTTAGTTGTAGCTGCTAATTATCATATCACCATGGCTATAATCTAGCTTGTTTGCTTTGAAGTATTTGAATTTCCCTGGTTTATAAAAATATAAATACAAAGCAAGAACATTTTAAAAACTTAAGCAAGTCTTGTTAGAGGTCATTTTTGGTGGTCACATAGGGCTTTTCTTTTCCTTTCATTTTTTCCTTTTTCTAATTTTTCTTAAGAGCATCTATATTGATTTTATATTAAAAGAAAACTTGGCTTTAAAGATATTTTTTAATTATGTTTGTAACAGATTCCAGTAACTTCAGTGTGTGAATATTAATATTGTTTTCCTTTATATGATTTTATTTTGTACATCTAGTTGTAATAACATTTTGCTTTTCTCATAGGTTTCCTAAAAGGAAAAATGGAGGAAACTCTAAATCAAATGCAGCCACTGAATGAAAAGCAAGTAGCCAATTCTGAAGATGGATATGTATGGCAAGTCACTGACATGAATAGACTGCATCGGTTCTTATGTTTTGGTTCTGAAGGTGGGACTTACTATATCAAAGAACAGAAGCTGGGCCTTGAAAATGCTGAAGCTTTAATTAGATTGATTGAAGATGGCAAAGGTTATGAAGTGATACAGGAAATAAAGTCATTTAGTCAAGAAGGCAGAACCATAAAGCAAGAGCCTTTGCTCTTTGCACTTGCTATTTGTTCCCAGTGTTCTGACATAAGCACAAAACAAGCAGCATTTAAAGCTGTTTCTGAAGTTTGTCGTATTCCTACACATCTCTTTACATTTATCCAATTTAAGAAAGATCTGAAGGAAAGCATGAAATGTGGTATGTGGGGTCGTGCTCTCCGGAAGGCTATTGCAGACTGGTACAATGAAAAAGGAGGCATGGCCCTTGCTCTAGCAGTTACAAAATATAAACAAAGAAATGGCTGGTCTCACAAAGATCTGTTAAGACTATCACATCTTAAGCCTTCCAGTGAAGGTAAGCATAAGATGTTCATGGGGTATGGGGGAATGGATTGTAGAATAAATAGTGAATTTTTATTTGACATTATGTAATTATTTCCAAGAATTAGCCTTTTTGAGACAGATTGATTGACTAATTAAAATATTTAATGCCAACCTGGAACTAAACACCTAACAACTAATCATAGGCAATCCAGACATTGATAATCAAGAATCATATAACAATTTTACAAAWTAACATCTAAATCTTAAAATGTCACCATGCTAGCTCGAGTGTTTACCCAAATGAGTGTGGGCTATGAATGGAGTATGGACTAAAGTTGTAATAAGCAAACACCAGCTTGTCAAATGGCAGATAACAAAAYTGTACTGCTGTAGACACCCCTCATCCCCATCTCACTAGAACATTGTTGCCAAGGAACCTAAAGGCTACTTAAGATAGTGCACAGTTTAACAATGTAGGGTGTTAATTGTCCTTAGCTTTCACAGGGTAACTTGAGTACTTTTTCTAAACCTATGGGAAAAGACTTGAARTTAGTTGTATCTAAAATAATTATCAGTCCCTCTTAGGAAGAATATAAAAACTTCTTGGAAGAAATAATTTAAAATATGAACTTCTGCAAAAATCAGCATGTCTAAAATTTGACTTTTTTTTTCTATCAGAAATGAAACTTGAAAATGTAGCCTCTCAAATTTTATTTCTGCTTGTTACTTTGTRTACTTAAGCCAAGTAAATTAATCTTTCTGAGTTTTTGTGCCTTCCTCTATTAGAAAAGGGAGAAGGATAACATTTACAATTATTGTAACTAAACATAATAATGTATCTTAAAATACTTACTTAGCATACATATTTTCTGGTATGTAGTAGAAGTGCATTATTATTTCCCCTCCCCTGCTTCAACATATTTATTCTTTTTGATGTTGATTATTATCACCATTCATTCATTCAACAAATATTGAGTACCTATTATTGATGGACATTGTTCTAAGTACTTGGAATATGTATTATAGGAGTTAGTGATTGATACACATTGATGCAAACCCCCCCCCCCATTTTTTTCTTTGTCTTTTGTGTGTGTATGTGCCCATGTGCATACATATGCAGGCGTGCTTCTGGCACATTGAAGTTGGGGATTTTAATGTAGTCAAACTTGTACCTTCACAGGTTTTTGTTTTATGTTAGGTTTAGAAAGGCTTTTTCTAAGGTCATGTAAGTAAATATTTACCTGTGATTTTTCCCAGTTATGCTGCTTTGTTTTTTTTAGCACTTAAATCTTTGAGTAGTATAAGGGAGATAGGCACCCAGCCTAATTTGTTTGTTGAAACACTGCATAGTAAAATAAAGTAAGTATGAGACTTAAAAGATCACCTATTGCTAATTCTGATTGGACAGATTAGTTTCTGAACTTGTGGAAATAGTTATTCTGGGCTTTCTTTTCTTGATMTACAAAATACAGAGTTAGTAGATGTTTCTTAACTGATAGGAACAAAACTGATATTTAAAACCTTGTTAATTATAGCAATATCATATCTGGCTTAGAGGACCCCTTGGCTTTTCAGAATGAATTTTAAATAAACTATAAGCTACCAAAATAAGTAATATGTTAATGTCCTAACTGAAATCAAAGTATGATTCATTTATTGGGTATTATGTACCTGCAGGCTACTGTAATTACAGAATTGGGTAGGATAAGATTGCTTTAATAAATTATTTTCCTTGGTAAGACAATGTAGAAGACATGCTTGCATGAAACATTTAATCGTTTAATATATCATTACAAAATCTGGAAGATAAAGCTAGGCTCAATAGTGCACACCTTGTAATCCCAACAGCTTGGGAGGCAGAGGGAAGAGAATCTTGAGTTCAAAGCCTCAGCAACTTAGTGRGGCCCTAAGCAACTCAGCTAGACCCTGTCTCAAAACAAAATATGAAAAAAAAAAAGGCGGGGGGGCTGGGGATGTGGCTTAGTGGTTAAGCACTCTCTGGGTTCAATCCAAAACCAAAAATCTGGAAGATAAAAGATTCACAATACCTTAGAAGTTCCTGTATATTGGTACAAACTTTTGCTCATATTGTTTAGAGTTCAAAGAAATAGCACATAGGTTTATTCTTGCTTAGCTGTGTTTAATTTGACCAATAAAATATTTTAAGGAAAAAATGGAAGTCAGAAGACTTCATAAAAATCCATATTCTGACTTCTTAAAAGTACATTTTTAATAGTACTAAGGCAATACTTGGCTAACACATGTCAGTATATGCTCTCCTCAATTCATCACAGTCCTAATGACTTTGACATCACCATAGGCTGTTTTATTTCCTTACTTTGTCTGACTTTGCCTTGTAGACATTTAAATTTAGTAAATGAATTCCCCCCTTTTTAACAGATATGGAAACGAACACCTAGAAAGATCAATATTTATTTCTTCACTCACAAAGCTCTTTCTACTATTAGAAGAAATTACAGAAAGAATGAGCAAACTATTTTTCTTTTTTCTTAATTTATCCTGTAATGTCCTAACTGAAATATGTATTGTTTATATATATGCTTTAATTTGTTTTTTAAAGACAGTTTTAAAAGTACCTACCTGTCCATTTCCACTTAATTTCTACTATTCAGAAAAGCATATTGATTCAGAAGCAGAGAAGGACTAATAACTATTTATTGACATAGATCTGTATTCTTGTGAATTGTTCTGAGATTGTGAACCTGAAATGGGCACTGCCTACAGTTTATAATGCTGGTATTGTGGGGCRGGTGGGGGAACAAGCCTCTGTAAATTATTTAGGATATAGATGTTTTCTTTCCCCAGAAGTCTCATATTTAAACAGTAATGATAAAATTTGCTAAATTAATTTGCTCCATTTGCTTAAATATGTTTGTGATAGTAAAGAAAACTGCATCTCACTTGAGGGGAGTTAAGCTATCATATGCTGCATTCTCCAGAAACATGTTCTATTTTTTACTTGGTAATCCTGCCTGCCTTTTCAATTCTTTATCTTATTAAAGGACTTGCCATTGTGACCAAATATATTACAAAGGGCTGGAAGGAGGTCCATGAATTGTATAAAGAAAAAGCACTTACTGTGGAAACTGAAAAATTATTAAAGTATCTGGAGGCTGTAGAGAAAGTGAAGCGCACAAAAGATGAACTGGAAGTCATTCATCTAATAGAAGAACATAGATTAGTTAGGGAACATCTTCTAACAAATCACTTAAAATCTAAAGAGGTGAGTAAATTAATTATTTTAAAAGGAAATATTATATGTAAAAGGCCCTGATTCAATCCCCAGTCTTGCAAAAAGAGAGACAGACAGAAATTAACTAAAAAATGTCTTGAAATTAATGTTAATTTAARACATCTAATACTGATGTCCAATTGGCATTTTGTGTCAGATCCACTCCACACCATATCCTGCCTAATTTTTAAAAATCATCTTTGTATTTTCTTCATAAAATACATACTTTCTTATTCTAGTAAGTTAAGCTTATTTGATTAGTCTTAAGACAAATTCTCATTCTGAAAGTACTTTGAAGTCTAAATAAAAGCCTTGGAAAATAAACTCCTATCATTGATATACCTGTGTTATACTCAGTTCATTTCTCCTTGATTCTTTACATTCCTTTCTATAGGTATGGAAGGCTTTGTTACAAGAAATGCCTCTTACTGCATTGCTAAGGAATCTAGGAAAGATGACTGCTAATTCAGTGCTTGAACCAGGAAATTCAGAAGTATCTTTAGTATGTGAAAAACTATGTAATGAAAAACTGTTGAAAAAGGTAAGTATTGTCATGCATCTTTTTTTTTTCTTTATCTACTAACTGAAAAAGTTGGCTTCTAAATTTTGGAAATGTAGTTAGTGCATATTTTAAGTGTTCTGAGACTTTTATAGCAGATTAACATTTTTTAAAAAATATTTTTAGGGGCTGGGGCTGTAGCTCAGTGGTAGAGCACTTGCCTAGCAAGTGTTGAGGCCCTGGGTTCGATCCTCAGCAGCACATAAAAATAAATAAATAAAATAAAGACATTGTGTCCATCTACAACTAAAAAATATTAAAAATATATATATTTTTAGTTGTAGGTGGACACAATACCTTTATTTTATTTATTCAATTTTATGTGGTACTGAGGATTAAACCCAGTGCATCACATATAAGAGGCAAGCACTCTACCATTGAGCTATAACCCCAGCCCCAATATACCAGATTACATTCTGACTCAGAATTCTAAGGTTAAAAATCCTCATTTTTCTCTTTTCTTTATAAAATGTATTTCTTAGCTACAGTAGCACACCATGTAATGAAAATGCATAATTACTATTTTTTAACTTGAATTTTGCTTTTACTTTCTATCTTTGTCTTGTTTCTAGGCTCGAATACATCCATTTCATGTTTTAGTTGCACTAGAAACTTATAAAACAGGTCATGGACTCAGAGGAAAACTGAAGTGGCGCCCTGATGAAGAAATATTAAAAGCATTAGATGCTGCTTTTTATAAAACATTTAAGGTTTGACTTTTTTTTTTTTAAATGACTTGGGAATTAACATTTTTTGTAAAAACATTTTAAAGGTAGATGAATAGTTGTAACCATTTTAGAGTATATATTCATTTGTTCTTCATTAATCTATGTGAAGAGGGTATATAAAAAACAATGTAAGTTTTTTTGGTTTTTTTTGTTTTGGGGATTGAACCCAGAAGAGCTTTACCACTGAGCCACATCCCCAGTCCTTTTTATATTTTATTTCAAGACAGGGTTTCACTAAGTTCCTGGCCTGGCTTTGAATTTGTGATCCTCCCACCTCAGCCTCCCAGGTTGCTATTAATCACAAGTACGCACCACTGTGACTGGCAATAACATCATAAGTTTATAAGTAAAGTATTTTCTATTATCTTTGGTTAGCAACTACTATACTAAGATGATTTTGATCATTTTGATAAATTATTAAATTTTAAAGTTTGCATTCTTGTAGGTTTCTATGACTTGGTTCTCTGCCCCTGTTTTTTCCATTAATTGGTAGATGAATTTCATCAGTCTTGATAGCAAGTGAGTTTTTCAGATGGAAATCCCATAACAGAATAATAAATTAAAATTTTGGGGTTTTAAAGTTTTCTTGATATGCAACAAATAACATCCAAATTCAGTAGCAAATTTGAAGGGTTATACACCATTGCCAAGTGATATTAATCCCTGATGTGCAAGGATGATTCAACATATAAAAACCAGTCTATGTAATGTATCACATTAGTAGAATGAAGGGACAGAAACACATGCTCTTCTAAATTGGAGAGTGAGGGTGAAGCACTTGACAAAACTTAACATCATTTCATGTTTTGTTTTTTTTTTTTTTTTTTTTTTTTTTTTTTGAGACAAGGTCTTATTGAGTTGCTTAGGGCATTGCTGTTTTGCTAAGGCTAGCTTTGAACTTGTGATCCTCCTGCCTCACTCTTGCGCCTCACCCTCCCAAGCCACTGGGTTTACAGGCATGCACCACCATGTCTGGCTTATTTCATAATTTAAAAAAGAAAAACAGTTTATAAATAAATAAGGGATAGAAATGAACTTTAATAAAACATAGCTGGGTGTTGCGACACATGATTAGATCGGTCAGGGTCACTCCAAGTGAATTTGGCAACTAAATAAAAACATATAGAAAGTACCTTTTCTTTGAGTCAGTGACCACTCCTCAGCCATAGCTCCCATAAGGGGGACAAGACAGACAAAGAGAGCGCGAAGCATGTGCTGAACACTTTTATTGGGGAGAAGCCATTCAAATGAGGCACGGGGTCAGGTTTCAGGGGGTTAGTAATGTCTTGCTATCAACAGGTTGACGGACATCTAGGAATTCCATGCCCATCTCATGTGCTATGTGGGGATCATAGGCAGAGCAAGCCAAAGTACATCACCCACCCAAACAGGGGCAACATCATTTCAGTCCACACTGTGTGCTCAGTGCTCATAGTTCACACACACACAGCCCATGGCTGGCTTGCCACATCTCCACATTCTCATCGCTCAAAGCTAAGGGGCGCTCAGTTCCTATATGCAACTCCTGACAGCTGGGTGTAGTGGCACACACCTGTAATATCAGAAACTCGGGCAGGAGGATTACAAGATTGAGGCCAACCTAAGCAACTTAGCAAGGCCCTAAGCAACTTAGTGAGACCTTGTCTCAAAAAATAAAAAGGACTGGGAATATAGCTTAGTGGTAAAGTTCCCCTGGTTTCAATCCCCAGTACCAAAAAAAACTAACATCCTACTCTGAAGGGTGAAAGATTGATAACTTTTCTCTGAGATAAGGTGTAGGTCAAAGATGTCTACTTTTTCTATTTCAACTCCATGTAGTATTATAAATTCTATCAATTAGAAAAGTAATTTTGAAAATTCCAAATTGGAAAGGAAGAAGTAAAATTATACCTGTCCTCTGATGCCATGATCTTACATTGTACAAAACTCTAGAGAATCCACACACCACAYACCAAAACAAACCATAAAACAAGCAAACTCTAACATAAAGTTACAGGATGTGAAATTAACTTGTTATAATCAGTTGTATCTATCTAGTAGCAATGACAATGGAAAGGAAATTTAGAAAATTTTTTCATTTACAGTATCATCAAAAAAAACAACAAAAGATAGGAATAAATATAAGGAGATGCAAGAATCACATACTGAAAACTGCAAAACATTGTTAATAAAACTCAAGATGACAAATGGAAAGACATCCATGTTTCTAGTTTGGAACGCTTAAGATCACAGTGCTACCCAAAGCAATCTACAGGTGCAATACAATCTCTTTCAAATCCCAATGTCATGTTTTGTAGAAATAGAGAAACCCACTATAAAATTCATACCCACTATAAAATTCATATGACCCCAGGTAGCCAAAACAATCTTTGAAAGAAGTAAGTTGGAGGACTCACACTTCTGTATTTCAAAACTTATTATAAAACTACAGTAATCAAAATACTCTGAATTCAGAAATAAACCCTGACATATGGTCAGTTGATTTTTTTTTTTAAGAAGAATTTTGAGATATTTCAATGGAGAAAAGCAGTCTTCAACCAATGGTGCTAGAAAAACTACATATTCATGTGCATAAGAATGAAGTTAGGCTGGCTCCTTACACTATAAAAAGTAGTACACAGTGGATCAGTGACCATTTAAGAGCTAAAAATGACCGTAGTTGTGGCTCAGTGGTAGAGTGCTTCTCTAGTAAGTGTGAATCCCTGGGTTCCATCCCCAGCAAGGAAAAAGAAAAAGAATGAAAAAATAACCTATACTATGGAAGAAAATACTTGCAGATCATCTATTTGATAAGGGTTTACTGTCCATGTATAAAAAGAATTCCTAAATCCAACAGCAAAATACAAATAATTCAGTTTAAAAGTAGGCAAAGTACTTTTTTCCAAAGATTTCTAAATGACCAATAAAAAAATGAAAATATACTCATCTTCATTAGTCAATAGGGAAATGCAAATGAAAACCACAGTGATGTACATTTTACACCTAATTGGACGACTAATATTAAAAAGCATAAAATAAATATTGGAAAGAATGTGGAGAAATCAAAACTTTGTTGTATTACTAATGAGAATATAAAATGTTGCAGCCCCTGGGAAAAACAAGGGCTCAAAAAGTTAAAACATAAAGTTATCATTCCATTTAGCAGTTCTACCCCTATGTGTATATCCTAAATAATTGGAACAGGTACTCAAAACAGATATATGTATAGCAGTATTTATAGCAGCATTATTCACTACAGCCATAAGACAAAACAACCCAAGTATTCATCAAAAGATTAACAGATTAAGTGTTTTATACACATAGAATAGAATAGAATATGATTTAGCCTTAAAGCAGTGAAATTTGATGAATACTATAACATGGATAAACCTTGAAAACTTTATGCTAAGTGAAACAAGCCAGACATAAAAGAGCAAGTATTATATGATTGCATTATATGATATATCCTGAATAGTCAMTTTGGGGTGTTTTTGGTTTTGGTTTCGGAGTTGAACACAGGGGGCACTCGATCACTGAGTCACATCCCCAGCCCTATCTTGTATTTTATTTAGAGACAGGGTCTCACTGAGTTGCTTAGTGCCTCGCTATTGCTGAGACTGGCTTTGAACTCGYAATCCTCCTGTCTCAGCCTCCTGAACCACTGGGATTACAGGTGTGCGCCACTCCACCCAGCCTGAATAGGCAAATTTTGAGAGAGAAAAAATAGTATAGAAGTGGCCAGATGCTTGGCCTAGTAGCACACACCGGCAATCCCAGCAACTCAGAAGGCTTAAATTAGGAGGACCACAGATTCAAGGCCAACCTTAGCTGTACCCTGTCTCAAAAAATAAAAAGGACTAGTTATRTAGTTCCCTGGTAAAGCTCTGCTGGCTTCAATCTATCCCCAATACCCAAAAACAAATGAAAAAGAATCTGCCTATAACAGATACTAGGGCAAGTTGGGACTGATGATAAAGTTTTCATTTAGGATAATGAAAAGGTTCTTAAAATAAAAATAATGGTTATACAACATTGTGAATGTACTTAATGCCACTGTATTCTACACTTACGAATGGTTAAAATTGGGCTAGGGTTGTAGCTCATTGGTAGAGAACTTGCCTAGTGTGAGCCACTGGGTTCAATTCTCAGCACCACATATAAACAAATAAGAGTCCATCGACAACTAAAAAGTGTATAATAAAACACATTACTCTCTTTTTTTTTTTTT